TGTCAAATGTTTTTTCTGCATCTATTGAGATGATCTTAGGAGTTTTTTTTAACTTAATAATATGGTTAATTACATTGATCTTAGAATGTTAAACAACCTCTCATGCAGGTGATATCCTTACTTAGTCATGATGTATTATCCTTTTTACATGTTGTTGGATTTGATTTACTGAAACTTTACCGAGAATTTTTGAGTCCATGCTCATGACAGATTCTGATCTTTACTGTTTTGTTTTCCCTGTAATGTCTGTAATATTGGTATCAGTGTAATGTCATCATTTGGAAAGAATTCACTCTTTTTCAGTTTTCTGGAAGAGTGTGTGTAGAATTGGAGTTTTTTGTTTTTTGTTTTTTTAATGTTAGGCCAAATTCACCAGTGAAGCCATCGGGACCTGGGCTTTTCTTTGTGGGAAGTTTTATAATTACTAATTCAATTTTTACTTTTTGTAGGTCTAGTCAGATTTTCTATTCCTTCTTCGTTAGTTTCAGTAGTTTTTGTCTTTTTAGGAATTTGCCCATTTAATCTAAGTTTTCTCATTCATTGGTATGTAGTTGTTCATAGTATCCCTGTATAATATTTTTTATTATAATTGCTAGTACTGTCCATTCTTTCATTCCTAACTTTAGTAATTTGAGTCTTTTCTCTTTTTTTTTCTTGGTCAATCTAGGTAAAAGTTTATCAATTTTGTTGATCTTTTCAAAAAATCAACTTTTGGTTCTGTTGTTTTCTCTTTTCTGTTCTTTACTTCATTAAGTTTTTGTTCTAATCTTTATTTCCTTGCTTCTGCTTGGTTTGGATTTAGTTTCCTTTTTTTTTTTTTTTTTTTTAATTTTTTTTCAACGTTTTTTATTTATTTTTGGGACAGAGAGAGACAGACCATGAACGGGGGAGGGGCAGAGAGAGAGGGAGACACAGAATCGGAAACAGGCTCCAGGCTCCGAGCCATCAGCCCAGAGCCTGACGCGGGGCTCGAACTCACGGACCGCGAGATCGTGACCTGGCTGAAGTCGGACGCTTAACCGACTGCACCCCCCGGGCGCCCCTAGTTTCCTTTTTGATGGAAGGTTAGGTCATTGTCTTGAGATCATTCCTTTTTTTCTGTTACAGGCCTTTATAACTGTAAAGTTTCACCTAAGCACTACTTTAGCTGTATCCTTAACTAAATTTTGGTATGTTGTGTCTTCATTTTTATTCATCCAAAAGTATTTTCTAATTTCTCTTGAGATCTTCTTTGACCCAATGTTTATTTTTGAGTGTGTTGTTTAATTTCCACCTAATTTGTGAATTTCCCAGATTTTTTTTCTGTTACTCATTTCTGATTAATCCATTGTGGTCAGAAAACATACTTTGTATGATTTCAGTCTTTTAATATTTATTGAGTCTTGTCTTATGACCTAGTGCATGATCTGTCCTGGAGAATATTTCATGTGTATTTGAGAAGAATGCATGTTCAGTTGTTGGGTACAGTGTTCTGTAATGTCTGTTAGGTTTAGTTGGCTCATAGTATTGCTTCAATTAGTTCTTGAACTTTCTAAAAATGCTCCATACTAAATGTGGCCATTACTGGCCTTGCTATTCTTACAGGGCCTTTGCATTGTTGTTTCAGCCTGGAACATTCTTCCCATAGGTAACACAGGATTTTTTTCCCTCAATTCAGTCTCATTTCCCTACATGTGTTAACCATCAGAAAAGCCTTTCCTGACAAGCTTTCCAACCCAAATATATTCCCTATCTTTTTATTCTTCTTATTTTTTACTTATAGAATTTAAAAGCACATATTTCTTTGTCTCTTCCACTCCCTTATTCACTGCTATGACACGTAGTAGGTACTCAGAAACTGCCAAGGAAGTATGTGGATATGGAAATCTGGAAGTAAGAGCAGAAGTCTTGATTTGAAATAGATATTTGAGAGTCATCAGTATAAACAATATTTATTTTCAAAATAGAAAATTTGAATTCACAGATAGAAAAAAAAAAAATCACATAAGGCCAAAGTGAGGAGATATAAAAGGGCCAGGACCTAACCCTCGTCCAACATCTGTTAGAGGTTTGGTAGTGAAGAGGCCCAACAAAGAGGACTGAGAAGGAGCAACAGAGAGGTAGAAGCATCATGGTTCTATAGTTTAGGGATTGCCTGTACCAGCCCTAATCTAAACTAGAAGGTGTCTTGAAGCCAAGGAAGAAGGCAGTAGCCAACTCCATGGAAGCTACTATGAAGTTCAGAAAGATATATGTCTAAAGATACAGTGATATGAAGATTGCTGATAACTTTGACAAGACCAGAAGCCAAGTCTATTTGTATAGAAGAGTGTGCAGGCCATGAGGAAATGGTGATGCCTTCTCAGTTTACAAAATAATAATTATTCAATTAGATCTTTTTATAAAATCTGCAGGTAGACTCGAGCTTAGCAAGTTTCCTTTTCTTCTTCCTGGCCTTTTCAATGCTCAAAACTCCCAAATATTGAAAGTATTTATTGATTCCTTAAAGAAGGAAAATCACTAATTGGCAGATATTGAGTGCCATCTAAGCCAGCTGGTCCTTGGTTCTCCCCACTGCTGCTTCTGAGAACTGGGAAATTTTGACTAGCAAGACAAAGCTAAAGTATCATCATGTCTGCATGACCAAGCATGTATGCTCTTTGCAGTAAATTGCCTTTTGTTTTAATATAAATGTGTTGAAAAGAATCTGTTGGAAAAGTAGTGGCTATTTCTGTTTGTTAAAGTAGTTTTCTGCTGTCATTTATTTCTGGGTTCTTGCCTTTGGATTATACAAAACACAAAAAGATATTTATCACCTTCATTATCACCGTAATACCTACTAGAAACCTAAAGCATCAATGCAAGAGAATAGAGATTCAAGAAATAGACCCATGCATATATGGCCAGTTGATAATTAGACCAAGATACAAAAGCAATTAACTGGAGAAAACATGGTCTTTTCAACAAATTGTGCTGGAGCAATTGAAAATCTATATGAAAAACAAAAACCTCAATCCATACCTCATGCCGTATATAGAAATTAGCACAAAACGGATCATAGACCTAAATGTAAAATCTGGAACTATAAAACATCTGAAGAAAAAAACATGGGAGAAAATTTCTGTGACCATAGGTTAGGTAAAGGTTTCTTAGATATAATATTAAAAAATGGATACATTTCCCTTAGTAGCTCATTCATTCCAAACTCTTTAAAATGAGCCGTTAGCCTAATAATTTGGTATGTTCTAGGAAGGATCTTATGGTTAAAAGAAACAAAGACTGCACTAAGGCCATCAAATTTGAAATTCCTATCTGGCTTTCTCCTGCCTTCTTCTCAGGGCAAAATTGAAATTATATGAAGAATAGTGGGTCAAGAAGTCTGGGTAGCCTGTTCCTCATTCCTTTACTACATCTCTCTGCCACTATACCTTCGGTTCATCCATGCATTCATCACTGGCCTCATGGCCTTGACTGTATCTCTTGACTTCTTCCTTTTAAGCTTTGGCTTCTGTTGCTGCCTAATTATTTTGCCATTTTCTAAGTTAGACTCCCAGGAGAGAGAACCTAATTGGCCCAGATTATTTTTACATATTCTAGGCTACTAAATGGGTGTGTTGAACCAGCAATATGGGCCTGTCAGTGGCTCTGGACAGGGTTGTGGGGATGTAGGGAGTTGACTGGCATGGATCCAAGGGCAAAGGTCTGTGTAAAATATTGGTAAATAAAATGTGAACTGTACCTTCAGCTGGTACCATGAACAATGGAGTTTTCCTTAGATGGGACCATCGATGTGACAAACACTGTAACAGATATAGTTACTATAAAGTAAAATTTTGATGTTCTTTTTTTATTCTCCCATAAATCATTGACCATCAACTTGTCTTCTAGTTATAGCTCTCTTATTATCTAGCTCACTTCTCAATCAATCCATAGCAGTTAGTGAGGTGAGTGTATAAAGTAGCAACTTTTGGCTTTTATCTAGGCAAGAGATAGAAGGTATATGAGAACAGAGGATAAGAATCTTGGATTAGTTGAGGGGTACCTGGCTGACTCAGTCACTAGAACATGGGACTCTTGATCTCTGTGTTGTGAGTTCGAGCCTCATGTTGGGTGTCGAGATTATTTAAAAACATTTCTTTTAAAGAATCTTAGATAAGTTGAAAGTTGTTATCAGAGGTCATTTAATATATCCCTCTGCCTGTGGTTATAATACCCAAATCATGGCTTTCAAGGAGACAGTAGTCCATCATGTTACACTTTAGTCTGGGCCAGTAACTCCAAGGCTAGTTCTTCATGGTATTTCATCCATTTTTCCCCTGATAGTCTTCATAATATCAATCCTATAATAGTGATCTTGATATTAGATTCTAGTGTTCCCATTTCCCTTGCAGGATGCTTATTTTACTATTTTTCTTTCCCACTAACAACCTCCTTTATAAGAAAGCCGAGTGGTATTTTTTCTCTGTCCCTCTAAGAAACTACTACCCAAAAAAGTGACACATACTCTTGCTGCCTAGTATTTTTTTTTACCCAGACTGACCTTTTTGGTTTGTCATCCTCTATTTTGTTTGGGTCCTTAAATGTTGATTGTCAGAGTCTTAAGATCCTATAGAGAAATTGTGGGATTAGGTTCATTTGTTTGTTTTTTCCCTTGACTGGAGGAATTGAGTTTGCACTTTCTCTTATAAGAATTGGTGTGTATAAGATGGTCACGTGGTGAATTTGGTTTGGCTTATAATTAATATATCTGGGGGAGATGAAACATCATGCAGTCTGAGGAGAAAGATGTTAATAGGAGGGGAAGAGTGGTTGCTTACCTAAGGTTTTGCCTATCAAACTTTAGGGTTGCTAGAAATCACCTGGGCAACTTGCTAAAGTGCAGATTTTAATTCAGTCTGGGGTCCAATATCTAGGATTCTTCATTTCTAACAAGCTCCCCGGAGTATTCATGCTGCTGGCCTGCAGACACACTTAGAGGAGTAAGAACATGGCGGGGGGCGGGGGGTGATATTCCCATACAGGCATCTCTGAATAGAAGCTCCTTGTATCGCTCGCCTTCACTGCCAGAGACTCTGAACAGGCCAAGACTGAATCAGGTGGTAAAATTCAAGGACAATCCCATAGCGGATAAAGTAAAACAGGAGTATTGTTCTCACAACGAAGAATTCAGGAAGGTAAGAACTTTTCAAGATGAGAATCTGTTTAATGCTCTTTCTTGTCTTTTCTGCTTTTTTGGTATGAGGATTGCTTTAGTATATCTTCTTTTTAATTACTTTTGCTTTTTGTCTCTTTGTTCTGTCTTTTCTACATCTGCATCCATGTATAAAATATTTAACAGTAAATATTTTTTATATTATACTTCTGGAAATGATGTTGGCATACTGTCTTCCCAACTTTCTTTTTTAAGATCTGAGAAGATACAAGGGAACCTTGAATGGTAAGGATACTTACTGCTGTTTTAACTGCATTCTGACAGAAATAGCATCATGGAACACACTGTTTGGTGGCAAGCAACTTTTGAAAAGCTTAGCCCCCATTTCCTACCTCTCCTTTATAAAAAAATCTAAATACATTTGGCTGTTTTATAGCACATAAGTTTCACATAAACAGAGGAAGCTGTTGTGAGGGGCGCCTGGGTGTCTCAGTCAGTTGAGCATCCAACTTCGTCTTGGGTCACGATCTCGCGGTTCCTGAGTTCAAGCCCTGCGTCAGGCTCTGCGCTGACAGCTCAGAGCCTGGAGCCTGCTTCAGATTTTCTGTCTCCCCCTCTCTCTCTCTGTCCCTCCTTGACTCGTACTCTGTCGCTCTCTGTCTCTCAAAAATGAAAAAACATTAAAAAAAAAAGAAAAAAAGAAGCTGTTGTGAAATGTCCATAATCCCATAGGCCAGAGATAATTATTGTTAGCTGGTGTATGTTCTTCCAGATTCTTTTTTGGATGCAGTTTTTTGTTTTCTTTTATTAAAGTGGTATTACAAAAGTACATGTTTTCTCATTTTTTTAAGGATATCATGAACTTATTTTCATGTCAATGAAATTAATCTACAACATGCTTTTTTTTTTAATGTTTATTTATTTTTGAGAAAGAGAGAGACAGAGCATGAGCAGGAGAGGAGCAGAGAGAGAGAGAGAAAGAGATGGAATCCAAAGCAGGCTCCAGTCTCTGAGCCGTCAGCACAGAGCCCAATGTTTGGGGCCTGAACCCACAAACCATGAGATCATGACCCTAGCCAAAGTCAGACACTTAACTCCCTGAGCCACCCAGGTGCCCCTACAACATACTTGTTATTGCATAATAGTAATATATAATGTGTAGAATATGATTTGTTTAAACAAGACCCTGTTATTTATTAATAATCTTTCTCTATTATAAACTTGCTGGGATATACATTTTTACAGATAAATCTTTGTGCGTATTTTTATTTCCCTAGGAAAACAAACAATTATTAGATCAAAAGGTGTGCATATTTTTAATAAGTCTCCATTCCTTCTCTCCCCTGGTTTTTAAACTTTTAACATGAGGAATTGGGGTGGGGGAAATCTTGTCATCTTCAGGGCTTAGGTCTAAAGAAGGCAGTCTCTCTCTGTGACATTAATATCACTCAGATGCTGGAGGAAGAGTCTAACCAGGGGTCTCTGATTGGTGATTTCTCCAAGGTGAGTTTGGTTATACTCATCCTATATTTCACTGAGTCATTTTGGATTTGAGTCTTCTTTTTTTTGTTGTTGTTGCTTGCAGAGGACACTAGGTATAATCATGTATCCTCACCAACTACTATTTGATAAACTGAAGGTGCTATCATGGTAGATCTAGACCCTAAGCCTTTCCAGTGAAAAAGTACTTTTTATTAATTCTGGGAAAATCCAAAGCAGTGGGGAAGTGTGAGGCTTTTTACTTTTTTCTTTTTAAAAATATCTTTTAGGGTGCCTGAGTGGCTCAGTCAGTTGAGCGTCTGACTTTGGCTCAGGTCTGATCTCACCGTTTTTGAGTTCGAGCCCCACATCACGCACTGTGCTGACAGCTTAGAGCCTGGAGCCTTCTTCAGATTCTGTGTCTCCTTCTCCCTCTGACGCTCTCACACTCTGTGTGACCTTCTCACACTCTGTGTGACCCTCTCACACTCTGTGTGTCTCTCTCACAAAAATAAAATAAAACATTTAAAAAAATCTTTTAAAATTATATAAATAATACTTGGTCATTACAGGAAAAGTAGAAAATGCAATATACCTCAAATCTTATGAACATCTTGGTATATATTCCTCCAGACTTTTTTCTATGTATTTTCACAAACACACATGCATATTTTACATACACAAATACATATTTTTGGGTTTTTTTGTTTTTTCACAAAAAATGATTTATACTGTTTTGTGATCTACTGGGGTTTTTTTTCTTCCTCATTTAATGTATCAAGAACATCTCTTCATGTCAATAAACAGTTCTGCTTCATCATTTCATAATTTTAAAAACCTTTCTTTTTTTCTTTCTTTCTTTCTTTCTTTCTTTCTTTCTTTCTTTCTTTCTTTCTTTCTTTCTTTCTT